CAGGGAAATGGAGGGGGCTTGGAGGATGGAGAGGTCTGGGGGTGATGTTGAGGGGAGGGGGGGGGGCGTCCTCTTGGGGTGGGGATGTTGGGATGCATCCAGTGGATGTGGAACGGGGGGGACCCAAAGGGTCACTGACCCACTGTGCCCCCCTCCCAGGGAGCACCTCCCCAGCCACTTCAAATTCAAGGAGTACTGCCCCCAGGTCTTCCGCAACCTCCGCGAGCGCTTCGGCATCGACGACCAGGACTACCAGGTGGGCTCCATCCCCCACCCCCCACCGCTACCTGGCGTTCCGCTGCCCTCCCCAACACTCCCCCCAGCAATGACAGCCACCCCAGCAATAACTGCCCCCTCCACCCCCCCAGGTGTCTCTGACACGCAGCCCCCCCCACGCCGAGGACGGCGACCGCCGCCTGCTGCTGTCCTACGACCGCACGCTGGTGGTGAAGGAGCTGTCGAGCGAAGACGTGGCCGACGTGCACGGGCTGCTGTCCCACTACCACCAGGTACTGGAATCTGCAGGAAGGGGGAGGGCAGAACGCAAAAGAAGGGGAGGGAGCCTTACTGCTGTGCCCCCTGCCTTCCCCACCCCCGCAGTACGTGGTGCAGTGCCACGGCAGCACTCTGCTGCCTCAGTTCCTGGGGATGTACCGCGCCAGCGTGGAGAGCGAGGAGAGCTACCTGCTGGCCATGCGAAACACCTTCAGCCACCGGCTGCCCGTGCACAGGAAGTACGACCTGAAGGTAACGGGGGGGCCCCCAGCTCGACGCCCCCCCCCTCACGCAGCCCTCCCCCCCCAGCCGGCCCCACGCCCCCTCACTTTATCTGTTTCTCCCCCCCTCTGATGCGCACACAGGGCTCGCTGGTGTCGCGAGAAGCAAGTGATAAAGAAAAGGTAATGTGGGGAGGGGGGGCACGGAATGAATGAATGGGGCTGGGGGGGGAAGCACCAGAGTGAATGGATGGAGGGGTGGGGGATGGGGGGGCACAGAATGGATGAATGGATGGGGGTGATGGGGGCTGGGGGGGCA